TTAAACTGCCCAGGATCCAGGCAGTGCCCTGACCCAGGACTAGGGCCCCTCGGTGCTCAGGCAGTTGAAACAGGGTCCATGGTTTGTTTTCAATCTGATTTTGGTTTCATTTCAATCAGGGGTTTTTATGTACATGGTGCTGGTTCTTCACTTTCTCCTGTTTTACAGCACGAGGCCTGTTCCCCACTTTTTGTGCTGTTTTAACAATACTGGTTTCAAAATAGTTCAGTTGAGGGGCTACAATCCCCTCACGTGGCCACAGTTAGCTGCTTAGCACAATGTAGCTTATTCCTGGGCCCGATGTTTGTTTCAGTCTTTGTGCAAAACTAAAACTAAACTAAAATCCTCAAGAAGGTTGGGGTTTTTTGCAGGGCGGGGGTGAGGGAAGGGGGCTGAGGGGATGCCAAGTCACTCAGGGTTTGTGTGATGTAACCTCAAAAACATGTTTGTCTTGTTTTGCAACCTGATCCGTGGCACTGCTGAGCTGGAAGGGGTGAATGGTGCCACCCAGCAGGCCTTTGGTCTACAGACAGTCACAGACGCGTTAAGGCTGAGGGCTGTGCTAAGCATTGACACTGAAGCAATGTCAGTGACAACGATTTTGTGCCATCGAGAGAGCAGGAGGAGAGGGGATGTGACAAAAACCATCCCACCCCCTCTCCCTCACACCCAGCCCATACACCAGGGTACTCCAAGTTGTGGCCCACAGGATGATTTCCTCTGGCCCCCATGTGCGTCCACGCCCTGAGCAGCAGCTGCCTGGAACACAGGGCAGTTTTAGAGCATTACAGTGAAGCGCTACAAGTGCCTGAGACCTGCTCTACAAAATGGCGTCCTCCGACTAGGCGCGACCTCGCACTCGTCATACGTGATTGATCCTGCCCTGAGACAAACTGGAGAGTCCAGCGGAGGGCAACAAAAATGATTAGGGGGCTGGGGCACATGACTTACGAGGAGAGGCTGAGGGAACTGGGTTTATTTAGTCTGCAGAAGAGTGAGGTAGTAGCCTTCAACTACCTGAAAGGGGGTTCCAAAGAGGATGGATCTAGATTGTTCTCAGTGGTAGCACATGACAGAACAAGGAGCAATGGTCTCAAGTTGCAATGGGGGAGGTCTAGGTTGGATATTAGGAAACACTATTACACTAGGAGGGTGGTGAAGCACTGGAATGGGTTACCTAGGGAGGTGGTGGAATCTCCATCCTTAGAGGTTTTTAGGGCCTGACTTGCCAAAGCCCTGGCTGGGATGATTTAGTTGGAGTTGGTCTTGCTTTGAGCAGGGGATTGGACTAGATGACCTCCTGAGGTCTCTTCCAACCCTAATCTTCTATGACTCACCTGGAGAGGGGCTCTCAGGCCCAGAGCTTTCCCTGGAGTCTTCAGCATCCCGGATCCAGAGCTCTGCCTCCCCTACCTCGATCCGGTGGATTAAGTCTGGTGTGGAACCTGAATAGCCTGTTTGGGGGGGGGAAGAATCAGTTTTATTACTGAAGTGTTGGGGGCAGCGACTCAGTTATACGTTGGTGCAGCCCAGCACAACAGGGCCCAATCTCAGTCAGTGTGTGGCTGCACAGCACCTAGCACGACGGGACACTGCTCTCGGTCGCTGCTTCAGACGAGAGTGCAACAGATCCCAGGCAGGAGAATAATGAAATAACCCTTCCTTAGAAGAAACAACAAGGAGTCCTGTGGCACCTTAAAGATTAACAAATTTATATAGGCATAAACAAAGTAATGTAACACACCCATCTTTGCATGTGTATATATATCTGCCCACTTAAGTTTCCACTTCATGCATCTGATTATGTGGGTGTTTTGGAGGAGATGGGGAGCTATTACAAGCAGCAGGGGAGTTTTCTCCCTGCCTTATTTCTCTAACTAGAGTCAGTTCTTAAGGCAGAATTGCTGCCCTCCGTGGCTGGATTGGGATTCCTGGAAGAGGTTGTTGCTCATATGCTGTTTGCTACCACCGCTGTGCCAGGACTGAGGTATGTAATAAACAAGTTACACAGAGATTAGCCCCAGGCTTTGTAGCCCTGAGTTGTCCTTTAACAAGAAGCCGGCCTGAAAGGGTCTGACATTTGCCACCATTTGGCTGCTGGGTGGCACATGGCAGCAGAGGCCTTGAAGGAATCCGACATTTCACAGCTGTGAATAAAAGAAGGGAAATGGGTCCTTACCAAGGAAAACAAGGGCCCAGTAATTCCTCAGCATCTGGTCCCGGTACAGTTGCTTCTCTGGCTGGGATAAGAGCTCCCACTCCTCCCGGGTGAAATACAGAGCGACGTCCTCGAACGCCACCTGGAGCTGCTGGCACAAGCGTTACACACTCAGCACCTTCCGCTCCAGCCCCCAGCCCGGAGTCTCAGCAGGGGACGCGGTTTCTAGGGGAGCGACTCCCAGGGAACCCCCAGCCCAGCAGCTGTGACCCAGGGAGACTCCCCCCCACCCCGCACAGCTCCCCCGGGGACTCGGGGCCCTGCTGGCCGGGGACAGGAGTCGCCCTCGGCTCCCCACGGGGCTCTGGGGCGGGGCGCTGGGCGGGGCCCGAATCCCAGGGCCGGGAACAGGCTCCTCCCCCCCGGCCGGAGTCCCCGCCTCCGCCCCAGGCCTGTGCTCAGCCCCGCTCCCGCCCCGGCTCAGGCGCCTCCGGGCTCCTCTGCCCGGCCGGGGCCTCGCTCGGGGGAAGGGGCCGCGCCCGGCTCCGCGTGTCCGCCCGGCCAGGGCCCCCCCAGCCCCGGGCCCCAGAGCCGCCCCCGGCCCCAGCGCTCCGGCTGCTGCAGCTCCCAGCCCCGGGGTCACTAGCGCGGGAGGGACCCGGGTCCCGGCCCCCCTCGGCCCCCAGCCGGGACCAGCCAGTGCCCGGCCGGGGAGTCCCCGCCCCGCGTCCTACCTGCGCCGGCCCCGCTGCAGCCATCGCCGGGCTCGGCCCCGGCCGCTTCCTCCGGGCAGCGACTTCCCGCCCCGCGGCTGGTGCCTCCCCGGGGCCGCCTCTCGCCCGCCCCCCGCCCTGGGGCTGCAGCCGGGACCCGCCCCGCGCACTGGCCGGGCCG